GGTGTGGGTGTGGGTGTGGGTGTTCTTCTTCTCTTTAATCACACCCACACACTCACACCCACCCTCACACACCTACAGCCACACCCACACCCTTCTATTCTACAAACAACGATTTCTGAAAAACCGCTCAACAAATGCTAATAAGAAATATTAGCATGATCAATTCGATTTGTGATGCGTGCCAAGCTCAACACATGCATCAAAACATCGATCTCTATAAGACAATTTAAATGGAATATAATTGGTATGAAAATATGCATTTTATGGAAATGTAATCTTCGAAATCGATCTTTGAAGAACTTGGTGTATTTTTCAGCTTGTCTGATTTGCTTCACCGCTTCTGCCAACACTGGTATGCTTGTCAATCGACTCCTCTCTCTCTATACTACCCCTCCATATACTTTTTGTTATGAGTCAGTACATTATTGCCACGACAGGATATAGATGGTGTGGGTGTGGGTGTGGGTGTGGGTATGTGGGTATGGGTGTGGGTGTGGGGTGTGGGTATTCCTTCTATGTACACCCACACCCACACCCACACCCCACCCTCTACTGGGTATGTTCACATCGTCAGATATCAGAAGAATTGTAGTTTTTATTGATACAAAATTATAAACGTGGGTGTGGGTGTGGTCGTATGAGTGAGACACTCAGACTCACATTCACTGTTAGGTAGTGGCACTATCTTTCACCCACTACCTTCCTTTTCTTCTCTCTTCTATGCTCTGTTGATTGGTCTTCTGTGTGATCCATGAGGTTATATATGTAGATCGATTGTTATTAGTTTTAGTTATTGTTAGAGTTAGTTTGAGTAAAGGTGAATCAGGAGAAGGTTAGTGGACACAGACTAACACACCCACACTCACATGATGTCTATTATAATTCTAATGTAGTCCGTTGCTGTCTAGTCAGCCACAGCGAATGGCTTTTTGCTGATTGGTCTACATCACGTCTTTTTTCATGTTACGGATGATGTATACCAAAACAATCTACGTGATTAATAGTATCACTTTCTTTGTTGATATCTGGATGTTATTGAAGACTATTTGATAGTTTATCATTAAGAATATCAAACATTTATGTCTGAAACTAGAAATAGAACATGTACACTAATCTCATACAAGAGAAAAAAAAGTCGATTTTGTCTAGAAGTAAAAAGTATTTGACTTGGATGGAGATAGATAAAACACTGATGAAATGATTTCTTAAGCCGTTAGTTCGAATTTTGAAAAAAAAATGTAATGAGAGATTAGTGTTTTCAAGTGCATAAGAAAATGTAGAGATTATTAAAAAAAATAGAAAAGTTCGTTTTATAACCAAAACATGATGAATCAATCTTATCTCTTGGTCATAAATGATGGAAAGAAATCAGCGGATTTATATTCTTTAAAAGGTTTGAAAGATTTTTTAGTATTCTATGCACAAAAATTTCCAGAAAAACTGAAAGCCGTATCAAATGATCAATTTTCTCAAAAGATAATTTTTTAAATCGAAAAATTTATTTAAATTCTAGAGTTTAACACAAAAATAAAATTATTCAAATAAACAATGAGAATTTAGTTCGTTCCCGCTGCAGCTATTTCTGCTTCCATTGAAACAGAACTTTCTTCTTGTTGATTAAGTAATTTTGCAATGACTGATTCCACACCATTCTCTTGGAATTCATTTTGTAATTTTCCTAATCTATCATCAAATGATTCTGATGAACCAGTCGATAATAAACCCAATAGATTATCAATTTTGGTCAAATCCGGACGTTGACCACTAAATTTAAACTAAATAAAAAACAAATTAAAATATAAAATATTTTGAATTAGTTTTTCCTCACTTACTTGAATTACATCCGATACATTAGCATCTTGAAATTCCTTATACATTTGTCCTTGAGCATGTTGGTGACGAAGAAATGAAATAAATACTAATTTAGCTGGATAAATTTCTTCACGATATTTCATAAATAAATTAAAGAATCGTGTTGATGTACCATCAGCTAATTGAGCATCTGTATTTTCTTCTTCATCTGTTACCATAACAAATGTTTTAATCACTTCTTTACCATCATAATATGGTACAAGACCAGCAGCATTTGCTGTAGAATCATTTGCTCTTGTTGTTAATGCTAATGTAAGAACATCTTCAATAGTTTTTGGTGTGAAAGAAGGTAAAAACATTTGAGTATTGAAAAAGTTCAATTTTGCTGAACAAATTGCTGTTAATAATGATGCAAGAATTGTTGCTGTCTGAATAGCAACATTCATTGAACTTGATGCATCACCCATAACAGCTACAGGTGATTCTAATGGTAAATTTATCTTTTGTAGTTGAGCTTCAGCTATTACCAATAAATCTGAATAGAATGTTGCTTTACTTGTTTGTGTTGAATGTTGATTATCGACATTTCTAGCAATTCGTCCTCGTCCAGCACCTCGAGAAAAGCTTGTTGTTCCAGGTTCATTATCTCGTAATGTACGAAGAAGTAACAGACGTTCCATAAGTTTTCCATATGGTAATGTAATCTGTTCACCATTTCGTATTCGTTCACCAATAATATCATCCACATCTGAACATTGTAAATCTTCATAATACCATAAAATAGTATCTAATTTTTCTTCATAAGATGCAATTCTTGCTTTTGATTGATCATTTAAATGCTGTTTAAATTGTTTCAAATGCGAATAAGGAATTTTAAATTCTTTAATTAAATTATTAATATTATCAGCTGTTAAATCTCGACAACGAGATACCATTGAATCTGTTGGTCCCGGTGTACCAAAACAAAATGGTAAAAACCAAGGTAAAGAAGGAAAATCTTTTGTTGGATTAAAATGAACAATATCAGCTAATTTTTTCCATGGTTCTGTTGGCATATGTAATGCAAAATATTCAAGTTCTTGTGGAGTTAATGTTCTTGTCCACCGTTGAATATGTCGTGCAACAGCACCACTAGCTGAACCAATTGATGGTTTAAGTTTATTTAAATTATCAATATTATTTTTTATTTTTCCTAGTTTTGTTGCTTTAGGTTTCGTTTTGTTTAATTCAAGACGTTTAAGTTGCTTTTCATAAACACGAATTTGTCGAGCAGCATCTAACATAGTCACTGCTTTAAGCACTTCCGTTAAGGTAAATAAACGTCGATGACGTAAAAGATTATTAGCTAGATTATGATCATGTCGACACCATGCAGCAGCTAATGCACATGCTTTAGCTTTTTGTCCAATTTCAACATTATTTTCAGCAAGTGTGAATAAGGCAGCTAAATAACGAGGAAGATTTGCTGTTTGTGCTTGAATATGTTGATCTATTGTGACATTCGCATTAACAAAAAATGGTTTTGGATCAGTATTAATGTCAAGATTAGTTAAGGAATTGACTGATGTTGTTTGTTGATCAGTATCCATTGATTGTGAGCGTGCTGTTTGAGAACCTCCACGACGACCACCGCGAGTGAAGACTCGACCGCGACTTGCACCACGACCACCGCCTCGACCCCGACTTGCGCCACGACCACCGCCTCGACCCCCACTTGCTCCACGACCACGTCCGAATCCACGACCACGTCCACGTACCACTAAAATAAAAAGTTTTATAAAAGTTTACGCTAAAATCTTTTATCTTACTTTTACTATTTTAAATATAAATCTGATATAAGTGGCTCAGTTGAATATATAAACAAGAACTGAGTGTCGAACAGACGTTTTGCTATTACTGCTTGTAAAACAGCTTTTACTCTCACGTCCTTGACTCTTATATAGAATAGAAATTATTGCACAACATGTTTGTAACTATTACACAGAAAAGTGAAATAACACGTAAGAGAAGAGAACATCAATGTCTCTCTTTCTGGCAATAAATGCCTAAAACTGTACTAGAAAAATCGATACATCAAGATTTCGTCAGAAATGATGAAAGAATATGCAATACATTTGTGTTTCTTTTTTTTTTGACCGAAACTTCATAACATATATTCTTGCCTAATTATCATATAACTGTGACATCTATCATACTCGTGAATTGTATCCATTCAGACTCCTTCATATGTTATTTCATTTTATTTTTTTTTTCGTTCTTCTTTCAATTCAAAAAAACAACTATTTGAATAGTCTTATTATTGGTCGTTGGTAGTTGATCCAATGAATTGAATTTTGATGGTGACATGATAAATGTCATTATACGTTTCACGGTTGTGTCGGTTTTTGTCTCTTGCAGAATCATTGAAGGCGTCATAGATATTTTCATTTGAGAATCTTTATTGTCAGAGATATATTTAAACAAGAGATAAAATCTGGTCCCCGTATTGCGTGAAAATTCGATATTTAATGGTACTTCATACATAATTTACGCCCAAAATTGTTTGTGGTACCGACGAATTTCGTAGCCATCTTTCTTTGAGATGACATCGTAGGGTGGCATCTCCCTACTAATTCCATCAAACATTATCATTAGATACCGTTGTCAAAGCGAAACAAACGAACTAAGTGACACTGTTTTAGAGTCTCCTGTTAAATGAATGTACGGATATTTGTGAAACAACTTGCGTGCTCGTTATAAAATGGTGCATGAAGAATATTTGACAATCAGAGAATTAGAAAAGAAAAGATCATTTTGATCTTGAAAGCTTTCAAAAACAACTTGTACTAGTCGAAATAAACTATGAAAAGTTATATATAAACTGATCCATATACTAAGATGAGAAGGAATAATTTCAACGAGTATTAAAAAAAAGAAGATGAATTATGTGATCATTTATATATTTTTTATTGATCACTCTACGTTTCAAACTTGTTTGAATAAAGTATAGAAAAAAAAAGAATAATAAAATGAAATGATATTGAATGGTTAGAATCATATTAATAAATTGATAAGAAACTGTTCATGACGATAAAATAGAATTAGGAATGTTCAAAGTCAATTGACTGTCGAAGCGAATTGATCATTGTTGACAGAGTTCGAAGAAGATTCAGATTAGAGATGTTGATCAGAATTTCTTTTGACCCGTCAACCCGACCCGACCCGACCCGGCTCACGGGTTGAGCGTAGTGGCATAACCAAGGTGTGGCTGAGCCCCACCACTGAGCATCTGAGCTCTACCATGTTCACTTTTGATCTTATCAAATTTTTCAACCAGAATAAATAAGAATCATTTGGAACATCTGATTCCGAGTTTTCAGTTATGGAAACGTCATGTAAAATTTAAAACGAAAATAACACAGAACCACATATTTATCATTCAAATTATTGGATATGGAGAGCTCTAATCAGCAGCTCATGCTGTTTGCTATGAGTAATAGTTTTTGAAAAGGATATTGGAAACTTGAACATATTTAATAAAGATATTTAAAAAATTCGTTGTTAGAGGATGATATACATCATCCTTCTCTTGCCCACGCATCTATTCTCTTTCTGTTCCTTTCACATATGTTCTTTTCGTCACATATGTTCACATGTTTTCTATTCTCTTCACATATGTTAGTCTGTCTTTGTTCTATCATCTTCACATTCCATCATCTTCATCTTCCGTCATCTTTCATATTGTTCGTCTTCTCCCTCATTATTCTCATTTCATGATCTTTCACATTGCTCATCTTCTGTTATTTTCCGTTTTATCATCTCTCTCATTGTTCTCATTTCATCATCTTTCTAGTTGCATCAGTTTCTCTTTGTGATACTGTCTCGTTCAGTTTCTCCTTTGTTCATATATAGTATATGTAGTGCTGATGTCTTTGCAATAAATCATCACCTGCCATCACCTCATCTTCAGAGCTAGTCACCTAGAGCGATCCGATCGTTCGATAGGACTACACGCACACACTCCTAAAATCTAATAGATCAAAAGAAGAACTATTTCGTCCTTCTTTTTCTTGTCGACATAAAAAAAAACAAAAATTGGATGATCAAGAAGCAAACACTTCGTCAATATTTACAGCAACAAAAACAAGAACAATATTATCTGAAACATCGAATTTGTTTACCACCTTTGATTCAACTAACGATAGAGCTACTCATACACATTCTATTCATGATTCATGTATATCCACATCAACAACAGCTTTATCATCAGTATCTTCACTATCAATATCGACAATACTATCATTAGCATCACCATCTTCACCATCAACAATCTCAGTCCCATCATCCTTATTACCTATTGATATTAGTCGTTCAGTACTTGATCTACCCTCGCAATCTTTTTTACCATCATACAAAATCAATAAAGACAAATGTTTCCAAAAGCAATGGTATAATAATCGATCATGGCTAGAGTATTCAATCTACAACGATTGTGCTAATTGCTATTACTGTAGACATTTTGGTTCTACAAATAATTTAATTAATCGAAATCAAAGTGATGCTTTCCACCGTGGATATAACAATTGGAAAAATGCACTTGTTGAAAATAGAAGATTTCATCAACATCAAACTAGTACAGCACATATAACAGCAACACTTAATTACAATCAATTTCTTGTACGTGAAAAATCACAATTAAGTGTCGTTAATGTAATTGAACACGGAAGAATCGAACAAATTCGCAAGAATCGTAATCATTTGATTAAAATATCATCTGTAATTTTATTATGTGCTCGACAAATGATTTCTCTTAGAGGTCATGATAAACATGAAGAGTCTGTCTAAATATATTCTACTTTATACATGTATATGTTCCTTGTGATTGTTTAGATCAAAGAATAAAGGAAATTTCCTGGAGATCCTTAGATGGACGTCCGAAACCGATTTAGTTGTCAAATCTACCTTTGAAGATTCAAGAAGCAACGCAACTTATCTTTCACTATCAATTCAAAATCAATTGCTGCATTTAATGGCTGAACAAATCCAATGTCGTATTTCAGCAAAGGTAATCCAACAGAATTTTTTGCCAGGGAAGATAAAACTCTCTTTACGAGTTTAGCTCAAAAACAAAGTTTATGAATTGATAGCTCACGAAAATAGAGATGCTTCAGGTCATGAGCAAATGTCTATTGTACTTCGTGTTATTGATAATACAAAAGTAGCGACATCAAATTATTTTATTGAAGAATATTTACTTGGTCTATTATGTTTACATTCGTTTGACGCGAAATAATTAGCACGTGTTATTGTTGATATTTTGAGAAAATATAATATTGATTTGAATTTATGTGTTACATTATGTTTCGACGGGTATAATTTTTTAATTTGGACATCAATCAGGTAATATTCAAAAAGCTTTTTACTACTTTTTTTCAGTGGGTCAGTAACGGGATGGGAAAATGCTGGATTACAAGCCATTTTACGTAAAAATTTTATGCTTACAGCTGCATATATACATTGCCATGCTCATCGCTTAAACCTCGTTATTGCTGATGTATGTATATCAGTATCGTACGCCAGTGAATTTTATACAATTGTATCAAAAATCTACAATTATTTTACGGCATCAGCTGTCAATAATGAATATTTTCGAGATGCTCAAAAACAATTAAAATTAGGTAGTTAAACTTATCGATAGAAGTTGAATTAATTTTTCTCCCGTCTTTAATTCAAACAAATTTGAAATCGTGGTCTAACATAAGATGGGACTCTCGGTGGTCATCAATAGATGCAATTTTAAATAATTACCAAGTTATTCTTTTGGCCTTGAATGATTTGCTTGAATATGGTGATCAACGAGCTGTCGAAGAAAAAGGATTATTAATTGTAGTAGAAGAACCAATATTCGTAGTTACATTACACATTCTGCACAAGTTACTTGGTCCTATAAAAATCTTATCAGACAAGTTGAAAGATACTTGATGCAGCACAGAATTGTAGAAAACATGATTACATCTCATCTTTATTTTTTTTAAGCTAACACACTTGATAATCGCAATGCACAACAGTTGATTCCATCAGTTATTGAAGAACTTTACCAATCATGAGATGAAAAATCTTTTGAAAAAATTTTGCAAACAATTATCATTTTTTGTCAACAAAACAACGTTAACCTCAATCAAAAACCAAAACATCGAAAACGAGTCGTTTCTACGAGATTTAAAGATTAAGTAATTACCAGTACAATCGGGCAACAAGATGATGATGAAAATGAATATTATTATCGAACATATATTGACTATCAAGTAATTGATAATATGTTAGTTGAATTCGAAGATCGATTTTCATCAAAAAACTTAGAATTTTTATCAGGTATATCATCGTTATGTCCAGGCAGTAATACATTTTTAGATTTTGATTCATTAAAACCAATTGCAAATCATTTAAATGTTGATCTTCAAGTCTTATCCAACGAATTAATGGTGGTGAAATCTATGTTACAAAATAAATCATTAACTACCATTATCGATTTATACAAAGAATTGTATCGATTTCAAGAAGTTTTTCCATCACTTGCTACACTTATATAAACTGCTATAACAATACCAATATTTTCAACGACATGCGAGCGAACATTTGCAAAAATGAAAATGATTAAAACAACAGTACGAAATACAATGAGCGATCTAACTTTGTTGGCTGTAGAACGTGATATAGATATCAATTTTGAACAGGTTATGGATGACTTTTCAGAAATTCATAAAAATAGTCGAATTATGCTTAAATGAAAAATTACCATTTTTCTTTTTTTTGTACTTTTGTTCAAATATATGATTCAACTGGTTATTGATTAGGAATAGTCAGTGTAGATATAGCCTTTTATCATGTTGAAAATATTATACTTGAAAATTTAGATATATCAATCAAACAAAAAAAAATTTGGAGCTGAGCCCCACCATCCTTGAATTTTTGATTACACCACTAATCTTCATCCAAACAGTTTTATTAGAGTTTTTAGACTTACCAATCCTGATAGAGAATCATTTCAGCTACTCAAATGTTGTTTTTTTTCAGATTCTTCTTAGTCATTACCATTGAGAAAAAAACACAAAAATACAACTGCTCTAAACTTTTGTTCACCACTACATCTTTTAGTTGGTCGGACCGATGATTTACTGATAGTCATTAATAATCTCATCAAATCAACAAAATTCAGTTAGTTGAATTATGTATAATAAAAGGAAATCTTGTGGTATAATATGATTCATCATCCATATAAATTAATTTAGTTTTGCATGAATTTGAATATTGTTGTAATAAGGAAATTGCTTTTAGAAATGTATCGTTCAAATGCTCACCATAAATAAGATCGATTGAGCAATAAACTCCATTGAGTATGAGATTTGCTATGACAGTTGAATCATGTCCTTCAATATCACTTTTCATCATTACTTTTGATGAAGCAAATCCCGAAGGTATTTTTCGATTTAATACTACTCTTTTAAACCAAGATACAATATCAATACTTGGTACAGTGATACTTGATTTCTTTCCGTTTGCTTCTAAGCTTGCACCCCATTGATTATTTCCTTCATTACCTGGTTCGGTATAAAATGTAAGATTTGTTTCTATAATACTAACAGCAGTCGATGTAAAAATCTTTACACGCCAATTGTGTTTTAAACAATAATTTTCAAATTCTTTCAAATAATTGTCATGTAAAGGATTTGCTTCGAAACCAACAGAACATACTTCATTTGAATAGTTTCCAAAAATTTGTTCAAAAAGCGGTAGAACTGGTGCATTTGGATATAAATGTGGTTCATAAAGTTTTCGAATTTGTATTCCAATATTTGTTCCTATATCGATGTAAACATATCGACAACCATCTAGAAAATTATGTCGCGATATGTGAGAAAACTGCGAATTTGAGTTTTTAAGATGTATCCACTTTGGCATTATGACGCTAAATGAAACACATAGAGCCAACAAAAAAATTAATGTCATCCATTTGATTTTCTTAATTGAAGGAAATTCTTGGTAATGATTTCCACCAATTGTAACATTGTTTTCGTTTTTATATTTCAATATCGAAGTGAACGCCATCTTAATTGTATTTATAGAGAAAAAAACAATAGGAAATATTGATATTGTTTGAGCTATGTTATGCGCTTCAACAACTAAAATACAAAAATATGGTAGATGGATGATCACCAGGGCTGCCATATCTTAATTTTCAAATGGGGTGTACCAGATTTTAAATGGGGTACTCTTGGGGTACATTTTTTTTACAATGGGGTACGTCATTGAGGTACATAACTTTTTATTGAAATAGAAGGGTTAATGTGGAAACACTTAAAAGAAACCGCTTTTCTATGAAACAACATAATATTCAATTTTTCTCTTTTAGAAATCAATTTCATTGTTGTTTTTCTAACACAATAAAATACTCTCAGTTTAATCATGACTTTTAGAAACAAATCTAAGTACTATAAAAACAAACGATATAACATTTTTCATTAAGGCATAATAAATATTGGAATCAACTATAGTACTTTGGCGTCAAATTCAAGGTGAAAACTTTTTTTTCAGTTTTGGTGTTTTTTACTTTTTCGTATTTTTCTATAAGCAAGAAACATAAAACAGTTACTGGATATTGTGGGTATAGTTATAGAGAGACCGCTACCAGCTACAATTAACATTATTTCAAAGAGTAACAGCTGTTAATAAATATAAATAATTATTCCTATAGTGTACACGTTCGGACAAAAGTCTTTTCCTCTTTACCTTTTTATAATATCATAGTTTGATTCAAATTTATTGCCAAATAGAGATATAACATGAGAGTTTTATTTCAATATGGTGTACAGATCACACAGTAATAAAACTCTCATGTCATATCTCTACTCGGTAATAAATTTGAATTCAAGTATGGCAGCTGTTAGCTCGTTTCGTCGAGCGATCGATATATGTTTATTTCAAAAGAAAAACATCTTATATATATATAAAAAATGTCCTTGAAGTGCATAGTATAACAGAGAAAAGAAAAGAAAAGAAATAGTTGTACAACAACAAAGAGAAGAGAGAGAACAAAAGCATCGAGGGGTAGGACAGGTATCACCGTTAACAGTCCTCCCCCCTTACGAAAGATGTGTGTCCCCACACATTAATGTTCATCAATTGGAAAAAATATAGTTCTTCTGTAATAACATTTTGAATAAAAAATAATTGTCAAATCGATAGCTTGAAGTGTAGTTGATATTGTTCGATGTTATATATCGTCATAATGTTTGAAATATAGCTATAACAAAACGAAATATATATCTTGTGCATATTTAACAACAAATGATAAATTAGATGTTGAATGTAAATCAATTGAATGTATTATTGATAAATCTTCACCAAGTTGTTTAATACATGTCTTTAAATTATTATAATATGAACGATTTGTACGAAGAATACCAATAAAAAAATCAAATAAAAAATAACATCAATTGATTATGTTTAATATTCTTTGTTCAAAAAAATATATATTTTTCGTTAACAAGTACTTGTAAGATGTTCAATAATATATTATAGCCATATCAGATGTTTCAGATTCCGAAAAGTAATGTTGATAAATTATTATATAGCAAATTAATAATCACTTGCAATTGCTAATGACTAGCCTAAAATACTTTAAGGTCTTGTTCGTCATCTATAACGTGTCATATGTTAGTCATTTGTTGTTATCATTATAATCACTAAACGAAAATGACTCGGTACTAATGACATAATTAATTCTTCATCATTCTCAATCATTCCTGAATGCATATCAATTGATGATAAAATATAAATAATAAATTCATATAATGATGTTGATGGATTATTTTCAGAATTATTTGCATTAACTAATTCATTAAATATTAATAAATATTCAATTGTTAATTGCTAATTAGTCCATGGTATACGTGGTAACTATCGATAATAAATATCAAGTATTGAATGTGTATATTCATTTGTTATTAAATATTTAACAACTGTATACCAATATTGAAATAAATACCGAAAAAAAAAATTTCTTGTTGATAACTATACGATTCATTTATATATTGAAATAATTCTTCAGATAATTGCATAAATGTTTTTTCATACGTGTTAACATATCACCATGATGATCGATTATTGTCTTCCATTCAGCTAATGAAAATCATGAATATGTTGGATCAATAAATGGACATTAAAGTAAAAAATTTGTTCAACTATTTGAGGTATATGCATATCATAATGAATTCGACATTTTATTTTATTTTTTAAACTGATAATCGTTTGATCATCTCTTGGTAAGTTGTAATAAACCATAAATTTATTTATTCATCTTGATGTTAATGTTTGTTTTGAATTGATTGATATTGTTGTGATCTACGTGATGAATATCAGCTGTCGTCGTATTGGTTATTTTGTTTATTGGGGCTATCTGTAGTTGTCGTTGTTGTTTATTGTTGATGGACTTGTTTGTTGGTTTGGTGATTGTTTTATTTATTTGTTTTTATTTATTTTTATTTGTTTATTTTTCTTTTTTTTTTATTTATTTATTATTTTTTTTTTTTTTTTATTTTTTTATTTTTTTTAAATTTAATTTAAAATATTGTCTTACCCCCATCGTTCGACGTACTGGTTTCTTGAAAAATAATTAATTCGCATTATCTTTCTGGCTTTTTCTTGTTCTTGTTCTGATTTAAAGCCAATTGTTGTTTCATTTTTCTTTCGATTGATCGTAATTTGATGACTTGTATGAATATTGTCGTCTTTCAATTGAGCCCGGATCTTTCTGTGATCATACTTATAATAGATCGG